CTTTCCGAGTGCTATTGTCCTTAAAAGTTAATTTTAATCAAACAGTGATGGTCTGAAGTCATTATGTAGCTTTGTAATCTTACCTTTATGCATGTACCATCATCTGCTGATGTACTTCTGCTTTGTTCCCTCCTAACTAGTTAAATATTTGGTAGTGATCTTGGTTCTCAAAAAGTACTTGACTACATCACTGCTGAAAAATGACACATCAGCGATAAATACAGTGATAACAATTGACAAAAAGCTGTGCGTAAATGCAGTTGCTACATACATACAGAATGCAAAATATTGCTCTTAGTTACTAAATTCTCTGTAAACGAATGTTCTTAATGGCGTTCACTCATGATAAAACGGAGAGGAGAAACTGTTTGCAAACCACTGTGGGGCATTAAAAAACGCAAAGTAAAGTTCAATATCACATACAATTGGGTATTGTCATTTTTCACCATCAAACAACATGAACTCGTACCTATAGAGTTACAAACATTGTAGGAGAGTCTGCGAATTGTAATTCTCATTCTTTTGACAGGCCAAGCCTTGTCCGAGTTCAAAAACCTTATGGGAACCATATCGCCTTAAGAGCTTTAAAGAGTCCATCTTTGCTCACGAAAGTGGGCTCAAAGTTTCTTTTTGGTTTTATACAGCAAAATCAATGTTTAATGCCGACTTTCGCGCATTTTCATGCTGCATGTTTTAAGAGAATACCTTGTCCTCGGATACCAGTACAAACCCCAATCATTTCCTGCATTCCCACCGGGATAATATCGACCATTTAGATTAGAATGCAGGCAGCTATGAAACCACCAGGCTCCTTTGAATCTCTTGGCACAATTCGTTTTCGGTGATGTATCATTGTCACGATCCTTCGTTGAAAAGGGATTCCCCCTGTGGCGGTCCAGTGCGTCATAGTTTGTACTCCGGCCATCGTACTGATCATAATTTAGAATGTAGTTACCTTGGGATATTTTGAAGTCTGTATACTTCGCCCACTTCGTCTTGCCCTCCCAGTCCCCCATATCGATCCGCAGTTCCCACTTTCCTCGTGAATCATCAGACGACAGAGTCACCAAGTTGTCATTGCCCAGCCAGAACTCACCTGAAAGATCACCAAAGCCAGACTGATACTCGGTCCAGATACGGTAGAAGTCGACGCTGCCATCTTGTCGCCTCTGGAACACAATCCAGCCCCCGCCATCGGTGTCCATATCACAGTAGACAAGGAGGCAATCAGCATAGTACCCCCCTGGGTAGATAGTGTAGACACCGCTTGAACGATGGCCGGCGTCTAAAAGCATCTTGCAGCTTTCAGAGTACTTCAAGGAGTTATTAGTGAACGAGAAGAGGGGTGAGTCCTCATCTGCGTCAAAGTATACACTCCTGTGGGTGGCTATGAAGTCTCCAGGCTGCTCTCGTCTTGTGGCAAGGTTCAACTCGCACAGTTTGTTGCAGTCGTTGAAGTTGAAAGACTTGCAACGCGCGTTCATGCTGCATTCCCGTCTGCAGACGACACGAGATCGCACAGTGTTTTGCCAATACGCAAACCCTCGCAGAGCGTGATTTTCCGCTGCGTGCATGATTTGTTGGCGTTGATTGCATTGATGTCCACCAACAAAAATGACCGCTCCCAAAATGATCATCACTTGGAGACCAGCGTTGACTTTCGCCATCGTTAGGGTGTTTGATTTTAAGTGAATTCTCTGAATGCTCTGCGTTCACCAATTCACACCTTGAAGAAGTGTGTCAAATATAGTCAACTGAAGTCTCAGGCGATATAACGATAAAATTCGAAAAAGGGTGATGAGTGGCAGATGACACAGAATTTCAGCCAGTGATGCATAAGTCTAAAGAAACGTAATGATATGACTAATTTCAACAACGTCTTTTAGAGGAACAAATGGGATGGAATCAAGGCTATCTGTCTGATTGCCGTATTTGGGAAACGGGTAGACCACTACCCGTGCAGGTCTGGACGTGTTAAGGTGAGAGAAACATCTGAAATGAACACGGCGATGCGGGCCTCGCCTGGTTCAGACTGCTGGAATCCGAAGATGAGAGGTAGTCATTGGTCAGAGATATGTATGCTCATTATCAGCTCGAACAGGACTGGCTGATAACGTGGATCACAAACGTTTCACGTGCGCGTTGAGGATGCGCCAATGCACCGACACGTACGTGTATAGCTCCACCTACGACGATGTCATGCACGGTGAACGGTCAGCGTCATTTTTTTCCTGGGAGGTTAGGGGTAATTATAATAAAATGGGCGTATCTGAACCTTTGCACATGCGTTTTTCATAGGAAGGGTCGGGGCAATAAGCATTTGCAAGTTAAATTTGAATAAAATCTGGTACACTGAGTTCTTTAAATTTACGTGAACATAACACCTTGAATTCTCCATACTAAAACCGCTGTTGCTATACCTCATGATTCGGGGCAAGCTTTTGCTTGGTTACATAAGAGAAGCCTTGCAACGATACATTGTTCTCAATGGATAAGTACGGCACAAAGGAACCAGTCCATTACAGAGATAATGATCGCTATGCAAAAGCTTGCCCCGAATCACGAGGTATAGCAACAGTGTCTTTAGTCTGGGGAATTCAAATTGTTACGTTTCTGTGCAATCAGACAACACAGTGTACCAGATTTTATTCAAATTTAACTCTCAAGTGGCTTATTATTATAAACGAGTGCCTTGCTCCCCCCTTCCCAGCTGCAAATAATTTTTAACAAACAAATGAGGGAATTGGAATAAAATTTAATGAGAAATAAATTGACTTGAGACATTTTGTTTATTGATTTCAAAAACTACGTAATCATACATATTTTCCATGGAAACGCAACCTGCAGGTCAAATTCGTAAGCAAAGGAATGCTATGAATTCTTAACTACATTTACACCATTCAATTAAAAGAAACCAAAAGTCAACATTACATAAACATATATTATCTTTAGGGACAATTTTACCACATACTTTTTCCACATGTAGAAAAAATTGTTTGTCGAGCCATTCTTCGTGGAACCATTAGTGTCTTACACAAAAGTTTGAAAAGTATTAAAAGCGTGCCTAATTAATCACCGGATCCAACGACCTACCGCTACCTATAAGTGCGGCCTGTGCAGCAAAATAGCCATGCTCAAACTGTGATGCTAATATATTATCGTGTGATGCAATATAGCAGGCAAACTTATAAGCGAGGCTAGTCAGCGCCACAAAATTTGCAAGCAGAAAGCTGTACATGTATTCGGCTCACTGCTTATTGTCTCTGTCAACGCATCCGTTGGATAGTTGATATCGTGTCATCGATATATTCATCCCGCAAAAACTTAATCATCATCATCTCTAGTACCTTACTCGAGTTTAGGGTACGTATGGTCGCAGTATCAGATGGTGCCAGCGATGTTTGACTAAATAATGTGTGCTGTAGAGCTGAAAACGATTGGTTTTAATTAGTTAACACCATGTGGCGCTAGATAGAAAATCATGCAATTTGGATCACCACTCTGTTGTGTTGGATTAAAAATGATAGTGCTGAAATCGTAGTGTTGGACCAACAAAGCAAACGAATCGCAGAGTAAACTTTATAAATTGTAGATACAGCGTACTCTTGCAAAGAGCATGAGAAACCAGATGCAGGTAACTTGAGACAGTACTGATCTTTGACTCCTATTTGTCCTTGTTAACGAGGGAAGCGAAAATGCTGTCTTTCTTCTCCAGAAGAGCGTTCGGAGTATCCCATTCAGCAACCTTACCCTCGCTAAGGACGACGATGGTGTCATAGTTGAGAATGGTCGATACCCGATGCTGCAAGGAAAATGAAGATATCAAGAATTCGTTACCAACTTAAATGCCCTCTGCGCTGATGAAGGACTGCCTCATTCTTTCTGAATTACTGGATAGGCAACGAATTTCATGTCGTCAGCTGTAAGTACTCTGAGGTCTTGTACCAGAGACGAAACAGGGTGAAACTTCTGCAGTGGCGTAAATCTGTGCCAATATTGAGGAGGGATAGGGATGGGTTGGGGGGATGACTCACTCAGCCCTAACAATTTGAAAAGCGAGGTGGTGTGACACCATATAATTCTAAAGAGGTCGATCGGTGTTCAAGGTATTGATAAACATATGTAATATTGTATTCAGAATGGCATGATTTTTTTATGGCATTGATATATTTTCCTCTTTTATGAGTGATAATGAATGCACTTTTGGTAGGAGTCTGAAATTTTCTTCGCAATCTGCTTTTTAAAAACTTTTTTGCTCACCACAAAAAGTGCATGGGGAATAATTCATAGCCCACCCCCTCACCTCAAAAAGTGCAGGATATATACCTTCAAGGCTTCATCCCCCGGGATTTACGCCCATGAATTTCTGAAGATACACCCGAGGGTAGAGTAATTTTTCAAAGGGGTACTGAAAGAAAATGGCTCGTACATGCACACTTCCAAATTTAAATGGTTGGCACCAGGGAGGGAGATCACGGGATTCCCCTGGGTGGCACATTCCTATATGCACCTCCAGTTCGCCACTGGGACCTAATAATTGGCGGCGCCCAGATGCTTATGTGCTTATGAAGTCTGCCTTTTATTCACTTAAGTCGGGGTAATACGATCAAAAAATCGCCGAAATTTTAATTTTGCACATTGTTTCTCTGTCTAAAAATGTTCTATTCAGGTCATAACATCAGTTCCCTTGCTATAAGGTCATTCATGAACTCCTTCAGTCGTTCCTTCTCTGAAGTTGACAGAGAGGTTGAGAATTTTTTAACTTACAGCTATTGTCAGCACCGTTTTGTCGGCGAATGCAGTGAACAGGACATCTTGAAGAACGGCGTCCTATCAAAAAACAGCGACAAAACATAGTAAACAACCAAAAATAACAGCAAATGAAAATTTACTACAAATTTTTGTGCGTGTGCAAATGATCCCAAGGTTCCTGATGACAGGGTGTTGTTCAAAAGGACCAAGTTTCTGCTTTATGTCTTTCTCAGGTCCGCTTCACTTTAAAACCCTATACAGAACCATTTCCCTGAACAAACGTCTGTCCGAGTGTTCTACTTGTGGCACGTTTCTGTATTTGACCACTGGGAAGATACATAACATGAAGATTATCTCTTGAGGAACAGTCCACAAACCACTCATGATATGAAGTTTACCTCACTTATTATCTGAAGTTCAAAACAGATATGTTCATCAATTAAATGTGGGCATGGAGTTATTTTAAATAAACCAGCCGTAAAGGAATTCCACGCAGTAGAAAAATCAAAGACAGTGATTCTCACCATTTCCTTATCGATGGAGGCGGTCGCCTCGTCCATGATGAGGATACGAGACTTGCGCAGGAAGGCGCGAGCCAGACAGAACAGCTGCCGCTGACCTACGCTGAAATTCTCTCCCCCCTCAGTCACCTCAGAATCTGCAATGAAGACAGCAACAATCATATGCAGCTATAAAACTGAACTCTGAACGTTTTCCTCGTAGGTATAAGACAAGGAAGTATGTCACATTCAGTGGTGTCGTGTTTCAAGGGAGCGTCCTCAAGCTGACATGTGAGCTAAGTTGTCGCATATGTAATTGGTACTGTATTAGAGTATGATATGTTATCCATCATCAATACGTCACTGCTCGGCAAACCGACTTGAAAAACGAACTTACTTCGATATTTTGTCATGAAACAAAATCAAACACGGTCATTTCTCCCCGAGAAATTTATAATCCATTGCACCATCAAATAAAGTCAGTACAACTTTTTTCGAAGACTAAGGACACTAGTTCCTGCCTGTTCAAGTGCTCAATTACTTTTACTGTACATCTTTTGACTCATAGGAGCAGTAAATAGGGAACAGTAATGATGCGGTAGTTGCAGGGAGTTTGCAATGTACGGCTGACTTACAGAGACCCTGACAGGAATTTAATCTGATTCGACAAAACGGGGAAAACATTACCTCTTAGTTGTGGATAAGTTCTTTTTAATTAAAATATGGCGTGACTTGAAGCCGGGTTGAACAATCAAGCCCATGCATTAAAAGAACAAAGGTTCGGCAAGGGTCTTTTTTATCGAGAGTGGAGGGCTCACCTAGACCATTAGGCAGGTTGGACACTGTTCCTTTCAGCTGGGCAATACCTATCGCGGCCCATATTTCTTCATCTGAGCACTGTTCAAAAGGGTCCAAGTTGAAACTAGAAAGCAATGAGGTGAAACATTAATACTTTCAATTGAATTTGTCGGTTAATAGGTGATTTTTGATCCACTGTAGGAAATCTTGCAGCCATCTGGGCTCTTTGCACGAGATGCAAAAGTTGGGCCTTACCGCACGGTTCCCGTGAAGAGTGTTGGGTCCTGAGGTACAATTGAGAGTCTTTGTCTGAGCACAGCGAGGGGAACGTGATCAATGTTGACACCGTCGATGTATATATCTCCTGCAGGTAACAAAGAAGTAGGATTAAGTCCCACACACATCTCGGCACATCTGTGACTTTCCACAACGGCCCAACCATTGTAAGCAACCTCGATCCCACGGGCGTGCTATGTTGGTTAACACCACGTTGTGTCATCGCAATGAGCGCGCAATCAATGGGGACAAGGCTGCCTTAAAGATCAGGTCTTCATACTTTTATTCCCATTTATAAGAAACCTGTGTATCAGAACTAATAGAGAGAGAGAATTTATGAGAGCACTAAAATTCACCAATTTTGCCTCTGGACATTATGGTCAAATTCGCGTCCTGTTTGTTTTCAAAGGTGCCAAGTAACATCAAACGTCATGCTTGTGCTTCTGCACGCACATAAGCTCTCACTGCATGTTTCGTTCCTACTGTATTTCAGTATATGAAGTGTCTTCCATTCCTTACAAAAATACCTCTCTCTTTCACTGCCAAGTTTGAACTGAACACTTTCTGCGCGCCCCTCAGCAATTGGGCCATTGGAACGCCTTGTCTGCGATGGTACACCATTTAGGAAATCATTTCGGTATGTGTGGAATCCCAGCATCAGTGAATGGATTCACACAAATCTTTTCGACCCAGGGTATTTGGAGGCATCTTTACCCATTGTCTTTACAATGATGCGGAATAAGGCTAGCATCATTGACGACTTCCCACTTCCGGTTCGACCGCAGATGCCGACCTGAAGAAAAACAAACAATGAAGTGTTTTCATTTACCCCGACATAGATGACATAAATTTGATGGTGCAGAGCACTGCACAGATACAATTTTCTCTGACAACTGTTCCGGCGCACTTTTTAGACGTGAATGTATCTCGAAAAGAGAACTTAATTAACAAAGACACTAACTTGAGAGAGAATGGTTACATACTGCACTGCATTCAACACATGCACATTTCTTAATACGACATAAATCATATATGCTTTCTGGAAATTTAATGCTATTATATGGGTCACAAGAATGGTTTCGTATGCATCTCGGTTTTTTGAAATCTGGTTTACTCGTGGAGGCGTCTCACTCTACCACTGAGCCTGTCAGGGTTAACTAACTGATTCGAATCTGGTCTCGCAGTGTGTACTGCGATTGGATGACTGGACGTCAAAAACTCGCCCTATCTGCGAACTCTTTGCTCCCTTCCTACCTTTTCGCCTCCTTTGATTCGCAGATTAACGCCTTGCAAGACGGGCTCCAGCTCTCTAGCGTAACGCACTTCCAGATTTCTAACTGTGATGTCACCGATGAAGGGCCAATCATCTGGTGGGTCGAAAACTCCTGTGGTGCAAATTGAAAACAAAACACAGATTGGTGCTTCGTTTTCCAAGAACTGCTGTTTGCCTCGTAAAATTCTAGCAGTCAGTGGGTCTCATCAGCCTGGCCTTCATACACCGTTTCCGACACGGCGTGAACGCCTCTTTTAAACAATAAACGTAACTACAACAACAAGAGCAAAATAATAATAATAATAATATTAATAATAATAATAATAAGCTCAAGAGTTAATAAAAAACAAACGTAATCGAACTTTTCTTTGTCTTCTTAGAGCGAAAGTGACATTCCGAGAGTCAAACGGCGCAGTATTGGAAAAGTATGACCTTGGGAAAACTTTGTTTGCCAAATCTTTCATAATACACTGGAATGATTGTCAATAAAATTCATCGCTCACAACAACATATATACTTGCACAAATTGGTGGCCCGCGCTGCAAGCTAACTACTGAGACTGAAGGCTGCCCTGGTTCGCTATAGAATGCATACCAGCAACAGTGCCTCCCTTACCTTCTTGCTTTTCCGGAAGGAGCTCGGCAAAGTACTTGAGTCGCTCAATGGCATTCATCTGCATCTCCAGCTCGGCTGACTGGGTTACCAGCTGCATCAGCTGCTGTGAAGACTGTGGAATAAAACCAGAGACAAACAAAGAGAGAGGATAGGCTGCAGTGATTGGGGGTTGGTCTCTCAAATTAAATCAAAGACCGGGGGTAACACAAACTTTTTATTTTCTTATTTTTTTAAATGACTTGTAGTTTCATTAAGGTGAGACACAAGAGCATACGATAAAAAGATTAGTTTAGACCTTAAGCAACGATCAACAGTGGTGTGTACAAGATAATGTGATATGTCTTAAATATTTTGTATTCTTTAAAAGATATTCTACACATTTTGATGTAATACAATATTGAAATGTAGTTTTCATTTTGACATGTAGATCACCACTGTCGCATCTTAAAGGAGAACTTATCCGATTTTGTGAACGTTTGAACAACATGAGCGACTATTTGTTGTTGAAATATAACAACCAGATTGAAGTACACTTACGAAGAGCGACACCGTCACTGTCAAGGCGACCAGACTTGGGTCTATCTTGCCCGCAAAAAAAGTACAGATGGCTACGGTACCGCTGAGAAAGATAATGCTGGCTCCAATGAAACCCTTAAAAACAGTCGAAAATCCAGTCAAATTGGATAAAAAACAATAGGTGCAACAAATCTTCCTTGAAGATATACCAAAAGACATGCATGCACAGTGTTACAAAACCCTTGCTTTTTCCTTCTCTAAATAACCCTGTCAAGTTACCAAAGTTTAGTCTTTCAGACGTTTCTTCAGCGATGAGTGCCAAGCTTACACAAGAAAAATCATTTTGGTGCATTCAAGGCAATTATGAAGTAGCAAAACTACTTTTGTATCCCGAGCTGAAAGTCACTCGCAGACTTTACGGACAAAAGGAACGAAACGCCCGCTCTAATGCAAGACTTGATATAAATTTGATGTATTCCAGAAGCACAAAACCCTAAGTGCCCATTTCTGTACTCGACACATAACCTTGCAATCTTCAACGATGAACCAATAATGTACGTACCAAACGGAACTGAAGCCAGAAATTGGAGCCCTGCCGAAAGAGGCTGGTCAGGGTGCTAGTGTTGATCTTGTCCATGGCAACTCCTGCAAAGCAAGCTTGTTTGCTGCGTGGAAACAAATCACTTTAACAGTTAAAGTGTCAGCACGCTGACTTGTCCCCATGTGGTAACCGCATACACCAGAGAGAATTGGTAAGTATTCATACAGTGCTCGATCGGGGAATAATTTTTGTGGCCTTTGTTCAGTGTTTAGTGGGTAAACAAGCATCGTTATGACCCCTAGCCCACTTTGCCAAATTGCGCACTAACTTCGAAAAGAACCACCCCAAAAACTTAGTATAACTTTTCCCTCTTTATCGCTGCTCGCATAATTTGATAACACTACGTACCGGTACGCAAATCAGACATAAATGCAATTTGGATCAGACACTGCGACCTACTTGTAGGCTCTGATGGTTGCAAGTCCAGATATGGTCTCGGTGAATTGAGAGTAGACTGGTGAGAGCGAGACACTCTCAAGACGCTTGACCTCCCTGGAAGGAGAAAGTACGAAACAGAGATCATCAACGGGCGCAGAAGCTGTTTTAAAAAACGAGAGGCTTCCAACCCGATTGCTAATTTTTGCTCTGATTAGGCATGACCCAGTGGAGTCATGTCAGTAAATTTGGTGCCGATGGTTGTTCTGGTAACTAGCTTGATCGGTGAATCAGTCCCTGTGCCAACGATTGTGTTCCTGTTTCCTCCTTATGCAGGCAACCGTCTTAGAGCTTGTACTAACAGGAAACTAAGTTTTGGGGGGATGGGTTATGCAGAAACAAGAGAACCTCATTGGAAGCGCACTTGGTGCCTTTTCATTTGGATACCTGGTAGATGGTGCTTGAGTCACTCATTAATAATTGCAGCACCATCTTAATCTTTTCTTTGTTTGAAATATAATGCTGATTCAGCCCAAGATCGTGGTTGTCTTTCTCAACTCGCAGGACATTTCATCAACAGTTATCCTTCTGTGGGAAGGCTAATGTGGACAGGACAAGAGCGCAGATGCGACCCTGGCTGGATCCAACATTATGAAGTCACTGTTCTGCCGACGGCTTCGCCAACAGTCTGGGGACTGGGATGTTACTTACCGTGACGTGGAGATGTAATAGGACGTCACGTACCAATAGAGTACGCTAAGTGGGATAAGGCCCACGATAAAGAAAGGGGCGGAGATTACATTGATCACCAGGCCAGCGACAGTCGAGAGGGTGAACTGCATTACAAGGGATAGAGTACTGCCGATGGTCTGCAAAATAGAAAGATATAGCAGGTATGAGTTATGACAACTGTCCGCAAGACCACAGTAGTTATCCGTCCCTGCGCCCCTTACCTCTGTTACAATTCAACACTTAGGCATTAGCATTCAGCTGATTCAGCATTGTATGAATCCAGGCATCTACTCATCGCAAGGTCTGCTTTTATGTTGTACCCACAGGTGTGTGGCCAAGGAAGTGGCACTGCTTGTCACCGGCTCAGTTGACATTGCCTTTTGAGATCGCTATTACTTTCTCCCTTGGAGATAATGATTTGGACTTTGCAAAGGAATCTAACCCATATAGGGCCGGCTATCCGGGCTGAACCAAACCGTAGAAGTGATAGACATGCATTTTGGTTATATCAAGTGAATGAAACTGTTCCTTGGAAAGGGATGAAAAGTTTATGAAGCCATTTATCGTTCAGCAGAGGTTGATGGAAATTTTTTTTTCGACCAATTAATTTGCCGGCGTCCTCGACTGGTTTATTTTAAGACACCCTGACAGGATATCTAATGCCATGTTATGCCTGGACTCCTCAGTAATTTTTCAGGACCCTGTGCTGACTCGCTCACCTGATCAACCAGCTTTGTATCCACAGAGAATCGATTAAGGATTCTACCGATTGGGGTTGTATCAAAGAACCTGAAACCAGAGAAAACAGAGAAGTTAAGGGCATTTGAAGGTGCCAGTTTAATCCGCAGGAACCTTCGCAAGTGGTATTTACTTTATTACTTTGACGCATTTTCCCTGCAACTGTACACTGGTTTTCAATGTATGAATGCTTTTTGACAACCTTTTTATGTGAAATGTATTGAAAAGTGCGTAAACCAATATTAATCTGAGGTTTCTTCCAGGGATGACATCACAGTTTTGCTCATGAATATGGACATAATGTCAGCATAAAAACAAGAAAGGCATCAAAACACTCTTTAAAATAGTGAAACAAGTACTGAAAATTGGATTAAAAGGTGCATTTTGGAGGTTTGTTGCAAAAAGAAAAACCATCACTGATATCCTTTAGCATTAACATGTGCCGAGAATGAATGCGCAGTGGAGCCCGATCTCCATCATAGGCCTAATACCAGAAAGCAAAGGTATAACTTAGATATATTCTGATGGCACCTGTCAGCAGATCGTCCTGGCGTTAACTGCTCATGTACATGCAATACTTATCTGTAGTTCATGTACTAAAAACGTACCGCACGGGTGACTGGGTGATGTTTTGTAGCACTTTCTGATGGATTCTCTTGCCGGCCGCCAGCGAAGAGAGAAAGGTTGCAACGCTGGTGAGGTAACCGAAGGTGCTTGATGATAAGGACAGGAAGGTATATCCGATCAGATAATGCTTGCTGACTGCTTTGAACTCCCGCTGTCATGGAAAGAAACGAGAAGGTTTGGCATAAAAGTTTTGCACGTTAGATTCTTTCTGGCTTCCACACATGAGACTCTTGGTAGTGTGTTGAATGATGAGGTAGATATAAGTCCGAGGTTCAAGTCAAACGTCTGAAGTTGATGATGTGGTTAGTTGAGAGTCCCTTGGTTTGAGGCAAAGTCACCGGTCATGAGCAGGCAAGACCTGTGTATCAATACGCTGACATCGTGGCTCAGCCTCCTGAATGCATTGACCATAGGCGTCACCAGGAAGTTTTTTCCGGGGGGGGGAACACTCATCAACAACAAACTTAATATCAGCGAAAGAAGGTCCATTCTGAGGTATTACCAACCGATTAATTGATTATTTCATTCTGTTTCCCTTTCCTCCATTTCTTTCATTGTTTTTTCTTTTTTACCCCCCTCGTGAACTTCCATGACATTGATCTAAAAATGAGTCGGGAGTCTTTCGGTTGGGATGTGTAATTGAGGTCACAGTTTCACACTGCGTCTTGTCTCAGCCTCAATCACAGAAGTATATGTCTGAATTCCTCGCAACCTTTCAACAATCGTTAACATTTGACAAACTGTAGGCAAGACATCGTTGCCCTAAGGCTTCCCTTGCGTCGACAGACCACCATCCGTACTCACCGTTGTCAAATTCGTGTTTAGTCCCACCTCGGACCAATCTGACAGCCAGAAGTTGTTGATGGTGAAAAACAGGAACGAGCAAATGTACACGAGGAAAACAAGCAGGACTGCCTTAGCCCCCACTGCCTGGAGATAGTAGAGGTACACTCTCCAGGGCACAGAGCCTTTGTTACGCTCTTCGGCCCTGATCAGTGTACTGCCATCATCCTCTTCCATTCCCGGCTCCCCTGCTGTAAACAAGCCTATGGGTAACGTAAAAAGATGATTTTGTCTTCACTTTTACAACCTGCGATTCAACCCTTTGGATAGCACATACCTTTTCTGCCATTCTACAAATCCCAAACAAGCCATACTAGAATCCGTGATGCCTATAAATGCCAGGGATTATATGCAAAGTTAAGATCCAGCACCATAAGTATTACACAGCATTCGAAAAACAGCAGTGGCAGGAGTCAAGCCTGGACGTACGAGCAGAAGGAACTGTTCCAGGAAAAGATTTTTGCGGGGGGGGGTTTAATGGATTACTGAAATCTCTTACCAGCTTCATCTAGGGGTTCTTCCTCCTCCAAGAAGCTACTAGTCCGAGTCAGCCGCGAGGCCCGCCGGAATTTCAGCTCTTTCTCTCGCTCTTTGATCTGCTCCCGCAAAGCCTGAATCTCCTTGTCTATCCCTTGGTCCCTTTCCGACGCCTCCGCCGCCGCAAGCTCCTTGGTGGCTGTCGCAGCGGTTACCCAGCTTTCGTACAGGGCAGGGTCGGACTCCTTGATCTCGTCGGGAGTGCCCCGGCTCCAAACGGTCCCGTTTCGCATGATGATGACGTACGCAACCTCTGGCAGGAACTGGGTCTGGTGCGTGACCAAGATGACGGATCTGCCCTCCTCGATAAGAAAGTTCTTCAAGGCTTCCTTGAAGACGTGCGAGCCAACGTGGGCATCCAAAGCAGACATTGGATCATCCTGGTGAAATAATGTCCGGAAATATATAAAATCATTTTACACTCTTTTCCAATCCGCCTCGAGCAGAAGCATCCCCTCAAGCGTAACACGTGCATTTCATAGTCTCTCGGGAACCAGTGAAGGAGCCTCTGTCGCTAAGAAACTTGGTCCAGCTCGAGACTCATAGCATTAGGTCGGATAACAGCAGAGTCAAGACAATAGTTTTCATCAAGTTGACCCAAGTTTAATAGCTCATAGCATGAGACTGACAGAGACATTTCTACTCATCTTCCAGCCCCTGATACATTTTAAGGGCAATGCAGTGATAACAAGTAGAGGACAAGGTCCGATTGTCTTACCAGCATAACGATAGCAGCGTGACTGTAAACAGCCCTGGCCAAACTGACCCGTTGCTTCTGCCCACCGCTCAGGTTAATTCCCTTCTCTCCAATCTCCGTCCTGTCCCCCGCGGGAAGCATATCGATGTCCTGACGCAGACCGCAGACATCGATGACTCGATTATATCTATGGGCAGAATGCAAAATGGAAAACGTAAGGGAAGATTCAATAAGCACCACTGTCTCATACTGGCCCTCAGGACAGTCTAGGATCGCACCTCTCCAAACGAGCTTACTGATCAAGCCACGAACCTGCTCATTTGGGTTATTACCAAGGGATAAGGAAGGCCAAGGAATCCTTTGACATACCACGCTTTATACGCACCCAAGCAGGCAACACCGACTAGTCAAAATGCCACTAGATCACATTCTCTCAAGAAAAGGAAGGAAAACCAGGACAGCTGGATTCCACTTCTAGAAACGAAGCCTTTTCTATTTTACCTCTGCTCGTCAATAGGCGTCCCGAAAATAACGTTGTCTTTCATCGAAGCGTTGACCAGCCACGCTTTCTGGCTTGCGTAGGCTATTGAATGCTTCTCGCTGTTGAGAGAGTACAACTAATATTACATTGAGAGGTTTGAGTTTTCTAGAGTTTTCTAAAGGCGCGTTTGTAATTTCAACAGTGTCTGTGTAGATACGATCAAACACGGTTTATGTTGGGGACAGAATGACAACTTATATGCTGTGTGAAACACTGTGTGTCCATTTTACAGGAAAACCTTTCAAAATGTCAGTGCACTTTTGTTCTTAACTTGAAGGCATTCTCACGGCAATTGCCAAGCTATTTACTTCCAGAAAACAAAGTGTCTGCTTACACGATTCACGACGGAGAAGTTAAGCTGAGCAGACGACGAACTACTTTCTCACTGTGAATTTTAATTCCTGCCATTTTAGGCAACTTACAAACGGTCTGTACATCTTGACAGCATGACCTGTCAGCGCCTTTGTGGTAGATAAGCAAGGCATTAAGATATTGGTCAACTTTGTATTTAAATCATTTGGTTCTATTCAAAAGGCTCCGAAAAATATCACCAGAAAATGATGAGCTAAATCTCGAACGACTTATCCTGACTGACTATGCCTTAGATCTTTCTGTGCTACTAAAGTGGTAAGTCTTTGCCTTTTTTAAACCACCTGTGATGTAACATTCACCTATTCCATATGACCTCTCCTGACAAAGTCTTCATCTCCCCCAGCAAGGCTGCGCATAGGGAGGACTTGCCACTGCCCACTTCCCCGACCACGGCTGTCAACTTGCCTAATGCAGCAACAAGAGAGACAAAAACTGACATTGGAATTGATGCAATTTCAGTAAAAGATATACATCTTGCTGTTTTAATGATGGAGGATATGTTTTGCAGTTAAACTTTAAACTTTCACATCAAACTGGTTCAAATACAGGTTCTGAGGAGTAGGCCTGAGTGAAGTAAATTTAACTGAAAAATATATTTTAATGAACTTCCAGTTTGAGTATTTATACTATACAAACACCGGTGACAAATTTCCCGGAATCATCTCTATATCAAAGCATATGTACAACGCTGTGGAAATGTCTCTCTGGGGTATGATCATGGATTATTTTTTATTTTCAGGATTATATCTGCAACAGCGATGCTTATAATAATGATATATTTTATTACCAGCTGGTATTTCGATGTTGATATCCGTTAGGTTTGGCGCGGCAGCATCTTCCCAAGCAAAGCTTCCATTCGTTATCTGCAAATAGCAACGTTAGCATTCACCTCACGAAGTCATTGTTTATTCTCAAATTGTACCGGTAACTTTCAAGCATGAGCTTGAAGCTGCTGGTAGAGGGGTGTGGCCCAGTTCGAGCACACAAAATACAAGCTTAGCCTTGCAGACCAGCAATGGAGCATTTTCAATCACCACTGGCACTGAACATGAGTTCAGCATGTTGAAACGAGGGGTTTGTTCGTTCGCTTGGTTTTTTCCAACTGTTTACTAACACGTATTTGGCAGTCCTAGCTTGCTATCAGATTGCAACGACTAAACGAATGTATATATCCTTTTGAATCCATGATCATAAAGAAATTTTTAAAATCAAATTGCAAGGATAACGTCATCAGGGCATAATTATGATTGCACGAAGAGACAGCAGATAAATTCTTTATACATTGTATTTTGCTACCACTCCCGGTAGTGTGGAGAATGATTCCACTTCTCATAGCAAACCACTCGGCGATTTCTTTCAACACTGAGAACAGTGGTCTTCGCAGTACAGTGCACCGGAATGTTATTTTCAAAGCTCACCTTCATGGCTACGTTAGCAGGAAGCCTATCCGGTCGGGGAGCAGCGGCTACGGATGGAGTACTATCAAAGGTACCGTAGGATGCTCCGGCATCTTTCAGACGGTTCATTAACTCATCATGCTTGTGCTGCGTCAAACGAAGACAAATTTATTTCTTTCATGAAAACTGCGATAGCAGGTCGACCCAAATGGAATGTAATTCGGATGAAGTCATTTTTTTTTGCATCAGTAATGAATTCTATAAACAGGACTTCCCAGTAATGCTCGGCCTTTGAGAGCACACATACATCATGGCAGAAAGAGCTTCATGGGAAGTTTTAAGAGCAGGTCTTTAAAAACATGAAATCATGAAAAAATGAAAACAATAACAGCAAACAGCAATACGTCAGTTAGATCAAATCTTTCAATCTATACGATTGTCTGTTACTAGTATTTGCCAGCTTACGACAGAATATCATCTAGGTTGAGTACACTTAATTTCATGTTTCGGACTACTGACACTACATTCATGCTTCAGGAGCTAATCATGTTTAACAACACGAGCTAAGTTTTTCTCAAACTTGTGTGTCTTTTTAATCACATTTCAAGTGGCTCTCCGTGATTACATCTCAGTATAACTAAGGATAAACCTCCGGGGGGCACCGGGGTGCACATATTTTTCAAGGGGCACGACTTGAAAAATAAAAAGCAGCAGCTGTATTTCAATTGAGACTATTCACAGATCCCACAGTTATGCCACTGCTACTGTTATCATCCGTGATTTTAACACCGTCAAACGTACCACTCCGCTGTGACAGGTGTCTTTCGCCGCCACCATCGTGAAGTTGAACTTTCCCTCGATCTTGTCTTCAACCTCGGGGGCCTGCAAGAACTTCTTGATCCGCTTGTGGCTGATGAAGGCGTTGATGGTGAACATGATGGCGGTGGGTATGAGCATCAGAGGCCCGGACATGGCTTGGAAGAGGGAGAGGGCGGGGAAGAGGATCTGTGGGGTCAGGGGCTCGTTCTCGATGACGTAGTAGATGGCAAAGGTCTGCAGGGAATGAGAATAGTTTTTCGAGAGATACAGTCTTCGGAAGGAGCTGTCACGCGGTCGGAAAGAAAGTTCGAATTAGGTTGCTGCCAAACCTGTCACACTAGAAGCAACCATTATTTTTGTTTGTTTCGTATGTGCAAAATGTTTTCTAAACACACCATGAGCATAAGCTCACTATTAAGCTTGCCGAAAGGTTATGATCAAATGCCATGACGTTTCTCCGACATGGTTAAGACCCAGTTTTAGTGCAGATCACTGGATTAAAAAAATCTTTCTTACTTACTTAGATAAGGAATGGTCAGTCAATGATCAACCATAATGTCCAAATATATAATTTCCCCGAAACTATTAAACCTTGTAATTCTTACCACAATAATGGCAAAGGATAAGGCAGCAAGAGCTAGAGGAGCTGTTGGAAGAAAAAACAAACATACAATTAGGCCTAGGCTTAATTTAAAATGACACAGTCACACACACCAGTCTCTCAGGTAGCAAACACTTTCCCACTTTCAGAAATGACTTGCGAAGCATCTTCCGTTGGATGGAAGCCTAAATGACCAACTTGGCCTATGTTTTGATTTAAAAGATTCCTCTATGGATATTCCTCTATTTCACGTGACGTCACCTGACTGGCAAAGGCAGTCCAGGAAACTTTCCAAGTCCGCTGCAGTGCGTCCATTTTTGAATATGCGTCTTTTTATTGGTAGTTTGATGTATGCCAGGATGCTCTGAGACTTCGATGGCACGCACGTTTCCTAGAACATCACGTGACTGCAAAAACCTTTATACGTGAGCCTAAGGCACGGACTCATGGTTGTGGCCTCTTTCCAGATATAGAGGCGTGCTGGCCGCGACCAAGACGATAAAGCCACATACCACGGGAAAAGGAAACATTGAAGAGGTATATTATTATATTCCATAGTTTGTTGAACCTTGAGGGTACCAGCCAAACTTACATCCTGGCACGACAACTACCCTAACACTTCAAAACGGAGAACCGAATTGAATACGTCATCTGTTTGTCATTGGCAAAGATCTTAATTCTACACAAAGGCCACCCAACAATTTCCCTGCGCTTCTGCAACAGACGTTTATGCCGACTGCGTGTGTAGAAGCAATGCCACGCCAACTGACGTCACACTTTTGAAATGGTCAGTATTAGGCGCTTCGGTTGTCCGTAGCACTGCAGATAACGGTGGTCACTCAGCCAAACTTACTCATGCTGCTGGAGAGCCCAGCGACTTTGTGGAGCTCCCTCAGCTCCCTGTCTCTGGACTCGTTGATGCGATCTTGAAATTTCTTCTCCCAGCCGTTGAGCTTGACTAGCTTGATGCCCTGCAGGAGTTCGTTGGTGCCCTTCAGGCGGCTGTCCGAATGGCCCTGTAGGGAAACACAAAACACCAGCTACATGACAAGAGGCCAACCTGTACACAGACCATATAGTTTCCCGCTGGGCTCAAGTTTGATTGGCTACAGTTTCTTAAGGGGTGGTAGGCCACTATCCACATTCCTTTCAAAACTATTAGCAGGGAGCTCATTCCTCACAGATAACTTAATTCCAATATTAATTCCAATACTCTTACATCTGGCTGTAAATTAGTGCACATTCTAAAAGATCCTGGTATATTTGTGCAAAAGGTATACAACATGTGCACAATTAACAACTGAAGGCATTGCTTGCAAGAAGTCCCTTACTATCTATGAAGGGATATTATATTCTGCTCTTGTGTGACGTGATTTTAACTCCTACCCACGACAATGGAATCTGCATGAAATAAACTGGCAACTTAATCAGTGTTTATGCAAAACTTAATCGTCTTCACCATATGGTAAACGCTGAAAATCTTGCTCAGTACAATGTACATATTAACTGACAGATGCCCCTCGATGGGCGAAACAAGTACACTATTCCCAGCGTGCGTATTATGCAAAATCTGTAACCACCGTGAGTTTTAACAGTTCAGAGTGCAATAATTGAGATAAATGTCCCAGCCACGTCCAGCCCCACATAAACCTACCATAACTCGTGCTTGGTATTTGCCGATGAATTTGGCCACTACTGCCTGTATCACCGTGGCGAAGAGAAAGCTCAAGGCACCAACAAGCGCTGCCGGTCCCACGATGCTATAAAGCAGGCCCAACATCACAATTAACTACAAGAACAGGAAATACGTTGAATAAGTTGAATACTCTAAATATCTTACAGACAAGATCCACGAATCCTGGGGGAACTGATGTCATCCTAAAGGCACCTTTTTGGTAGGGGAAGCACTGAATAAAGTGAGAAAAGATTTTTAAAAGAATATATCACTTCACTTCCTTGGTGTAGCTAAACGTTTTCCAACCCCTTCTCCCCTCCTGGATGCCATAAAGGTCACACAAAAATTGTAAATGTTCGACCCTCGCTCCAGAACTCTTCTGTTAAAAATTTGGTTCTCTGAGCTGCTTATGCGAAGACTCATTATCCTTCGAATCCGCCACACGATATTTGATCACATCATATCCGATGCATATCGAACGGAAGTCGAATCAACATTACACATGGAAAGTTCAGATGTTCATTTCTTGCACAAAACAAAGTTTCTATCACATACGGCTCGAAATACACTTAACACCAAGACTACAGGATTTGATCAAAGCAACTTGCAGTTGAGAACTCGTCCAGATTACAGTCAATTTCCATCCCGACAAAGAGTCAAAGGGGGAATTGGAAATTGTCAAGGCTTTGAAGAGACTGCAAATTAAAAAAAAAAAAAACTACAGTGGATGCAAAGGCGTAGGCAAACCTGTATAGGTGCGGTCCAAAGTGTATGGACAAACATGAAGAACAACTGCATATTTATAGGATCCGTTCCAATGTGATTGGTGATCTGTCCAGAGCTCATATCTGGGCTGCTCAGGGCGGTGACAGAAAGCTGTTGGGATTTCAGGTAGACTGAGCCCTGATGGAGAGAGAGAATAATTAAGGACTGGTCCAAGAAAGTTGGGTTAAAGGAGGGCGCTGTACAAGGGATACACTTGGCATAATTATGATTCATCATCTTCTGCCCAAGTGGTGTATCAGGGTGGGCGTGGTCATTCCGTTCGGATTTAGTTTAGTTAGGTTTATGCCGAAATTCACTATTTAAAGTGAGCAAGTTTTTAACCGCATCCGGAGCGATTCAGCACGGACATAATGGTAACTTCTGAACAAGGATATTCATTTCCAAAGTGACATATCTGCCTCCTTTCCACCTTTGGCTTTTAAGGCACTTCAGTCTTAGAAACGTAGCCTCTTGCGATGACACTATTCGGCTGGCAGACACTGTCGAAGGTCAGAGCACTCTGTAAATTTCGCTTCTAACAGTAAATATGTGCTACCGATTGTGGAGCTAAGTATGATTTCGTCGGAAGGAGATGACACTTAGATCTGAGTAAAGGCCCGGGCCCATAAAAATAGGAATATGTCGCCAATGTGCTTTTTAAAAATATGTATTTGCATAGTAGGAAAGGGAATTTTCATCTCTAATTGTTAATATTCATGACACTTTAATATCTGGACACTTATGACTGAAAACACGAATCGTCATTGTTTTCATGTGCTAAATTTACCGGATGATTCCGCGAAACCACCCCAGCGACCTGCTCTTCAATTGCCACCTCATAAAAAAATCCACATGCAATTGTTAGATCAAGAGAAGCAAGAACAAACGCACCTGTATGGCGGAGCGAACTTTGGTGCCAACGTGAAACATGGTCTGCGAGTGCCTCTGGGTCAGGACGACAGACACGAAATTCAGGATGAAGAGTAAGACCACGAGGGCAAAGACATTCTGGACGGCGTCAGGCACAGAGATGTATCCGGCGTCCTGCATGGGCAGAGTAAAACAACACAGTCTCACTGCAGGTCGCCCCTACGACCTGGGCTCAAATGCCGCTTACGGCGGTTGGTGGGTTGCCTCTTCAGACCCTACCTGATTCCATGGGCTTTTCCGGGAATAATTTGCCTGAGATTTTCTTAAAACTGATCATTTCTTTCGTGTGTTCTCTGCTCAGGCTTCTTCATGCTTGCGAACTATTCAGTGACAAATAAGCGTTTTTGAAAATCATTGGTTTAATTATCAGAAATTATAGAACAATACGAATTAAAAAGTGAGAAAGGGGGACATCTCGAAATGGAATTTGTTCTCAAGTTTTGACCATCCCTAATCAACACTAGATAAAAGTTGAGAATGTCCCCACTTGCAAATACAAGGCTGACTGCAGCTATTACTGGATTTGAATCATTTTCATTTGTAGCCCTATGATTTGACTTCATAATGCACTGTGCTTTAATAGAGAAGGTGCCAAAACGTAGTTCTTCGCTGAAAAGAAACCAGAAATAATCTCTCTTTTTGTTTTGCTATCCTTAAAGCAACTCAGTGACGGGACATGATAAAATTTACATTTAGGTGTCGTTTACACATTAAACCACTCAGTATTAATGTGTAACTGCGGTTAAATAATTCTGACATAAAGGTGTCTGTAAATAAGATACTTTTGCCGTCCGAGAAATAATAGTAAAACAAAGTCCACATATCCAAAACATACAATGGAAAGAATCTTAAAACAGTCCCAGGGGTGTCTGTAGTTTATTTTTTACCTTATCAATGGGTTTGGGATTATTTTGGAACGCCAGCGTAATTTGGTCAATGACTTTCTGCAGAAGCAGCGGGCCGGCTAACGTCATCAAGATCCCGGCCAACCGTTGGAGCCCAGCAACCGCGCTCGGACCACCGTGGAGTCTGGTGTAGATCTTTGTGAAATTGGCATCTTCGATGTTGACAGAGTCCTTGCTCATCTGTGGAATCCAGAAACGGAATAATGAGGGTAAGAATTCCGGTCTCTTCCTCGTGCCGACTCAGATCGCGTCCTGATTGCTATTAGGCCTATGCGGCAGGCAACACGTTTGTGTCTACAGATTTTATTCATGGGTCTCTAGAATAAAAATTGAAAGCGAGGTTTACTCTTCCTTTTTTGAGTTGAGAGGGAAAATGAAAGAACTGAAAATGCAACTTCACGACAAATTAGTACCCGTGTACTCTGATGAATAATTTCCAATTTACATTTAAGCATACAAAACTATTCCTTAGTGGTTTAAGCCAGATTTTAAAACATTGAAAGGGAGCTTGAAGCACAAGGTGATCACAAAACAGTCTGGTGCCGTCTTAATCGAGAGTAAGCAATTTATAAAACAGATTCAGGAAATAAGATCGAAAATGGCTTCCACGTGAATAAGTTATATAGGTAATGGCTACAGCCATTCGTTAGTGGTTCCCTTAAGCACAAGCCGAAGCCACATTATTTGCATGCAGCCAATTGTAATTCTTTGCGCGTTTATAACCTTGTGCATTAAGGCCAATAAGTCAGTTTTGTAAGCTATCGGAAACCCCTCTTTTTTATCAAATTTCCAAGAACTGACAAAAATCTATAAGGTGTGAGAAAACTTGCAGTTGTGATAAGCAGGCCCAGCAACTGACGTGTGGTGTTCAACCTGTGAAAATTCCCTTCCAAACTAGTGCAGGGTTACCCACCAAATCGTTGGCAATCTCTGCCTGAAGCTCGTCCACGCACACGTCCGTTTTGAAGTGGGTGGGCAACTCTCCAAGGTCGGGTATCTCCAGAGGGCGCTTGTACCCGAGCTTGAAGAGTTTCTGGAGCCACCAGAGCGAAATCGAGGAAGCGTAGTTGCTGAAAAGGTTCCGGTATTTGATGTTGGGATTCATGGCATCAACGGCGTAGGTGGGCGTGCCATACGTCCACACCGTCAGTTTGTTATTGAGAATTATCTGTTAAAACAAAGTGTATATTCTTCAAAGCCCTTGTTTTTCATCTTTGGTAAGCACTATCCAACTGTAATTACGTCGAATGGCTGGATTATTTGTACAGGTCAACCAATGGATAAGTGGTTCATTTATGGCCGGTTTGATTTTTCTACCTTGCTTGCTTAGCACGAGTGAGGTCACAAATGATATTTCTCTCCCATGTATTTCCTTTACTTCTGCCGGTGGTTTGTTTGAGTATTAACACGATTTAAAGAGTCGGGGCACTTTCCTTTGCACCAATTTCATAATCGGGTCGGAAAAAAGACAATGCAGTTTATTTCTTTGGTCGGCACTAGTGACACACAAATACAAGGAAGGAAGGCTAACACAAAGCCGATGAAGAATATTTATCATTAAACAGACCATAAGATTTGCCAACCTAGTTGACGACCTCTAACCTGTCAAGCTGATAATGTCTTATTTGGCCCAAAGCAATTCGAGACGAAGCAAGCACTGAAAACTGTGTCTTCCTACTAGCTACCAGTTCAATAAACAAACGGAATTAACCAAGCTAGCTCAATTAAGGGTTTTTACTTACTCTATTGATAATAAGATAGCCGTCCATAACGGCGAACGCGATGTAAATCATTAGCATCATCAGCGTGATGTCATACTTCAGCACTGTCAGGTTCACCTCGGGAATCCGTCTCAGATCGTGAAAACGAAGCTTCTCGTTAACGATAGCTACCAGCCAGTACACCACCTGAGTACAGAGCGTTTCGATTGACGTTGAACTTCAGTATTGTGGTCTCCCATCCCTAGTTTTACCCCCGTCAGAAGGGCATTTCTACTATTTTTTCTAACCACACAACTCACAGTTCAGTACCCGGATTCAACGTTAAGTCTTACCCGTCTGCTTGATTGCACCTTTCATATCAACGTCTTGCCTTTCAGAAGTGGAAGAAATTAATTTACAACTTATGAAGGACTACGAGGGGTAGCTCTTGTAAATATTATATATTTCTAATCAAATGGACCTTTGTGATGATGCAGCGGAACTTGGAAAAGGCTGGGTATGTTGAAAGTAAAAAAACTCGAGAATTGTGCGTACGTCTTCACATGTTGCTGTGTCTTCTTCGATGAATTAAGAAATTGTAAAATTCTACCTCGCATCACATAGCACCCTGGACTTACTTGAGATTGCACCTGCCACCGGTATCCTGTCGTCACGCTTGAGAGATCTCATTGTAACAACAAAGACATAACATTGCTCAGGGCACTTTCGTAGTACGAAACATCAACTGTTTGCAGTCAGCTAATTAGCAGCGGGTGGGTATCAGAATGGCACCTTTTTGTTAGCAGAAATCTGGGAGGGAAGTAAGTCCTTCAGTGCCAGTGATGCCTCGGTAGAATTATAATTAAACTTCAATTACATTTCATTTCGTTTACTTAGGGGATTTTACTGCATGTCCTTTTGAGTCTCAAGGATACAGTCGGTTTCGGAGTGAGGTCATTGAAGCCCCGAGCCGAATTCGTTATTACGTCATGAAAAGTTTAAATTTTTAAATGTTAGTTTGCCTCGTGTTATTTTCTTAATTATTCAGTGAAAGCAAGCATGATTGGTACTTGGAGGCTCCCTAAAATTTGGGAGGTCCCATAGGCCTGTGTTATGTTTGTCCGTACGTGAATCCACGACCGGACATCTCCAATCGGACTGACCCACCTGTAGCCACAGCATTTTTGGACGATCCCACAGTTCTGTGTAATTGTAATAGACCATAAAGGCGATCGCCCCGACCAGGGCAAGCAGGCCTGGCACGAAGAGTTGAGGGTGGGCGCCCCCATCCAGGACCAAGGTGTCGGTCAGGACCCCCTCCCCGACCTGAACGAAGGTGACCAGAACCAGGGCCAGCATCAGCAGCCACCGGATGTCGTGAAATGGGTAGCGGAGACGGAGCAGGGTCGGGGAGGTCGAGGAGTACAGCTGGACGACCTCCGGGTTGTAGAACCGCTTGCGGAGGAGGACCGCGGCCGACAGGAGGATGAGGACGGCGTGGGAGACGGAGTAGACGGCGTTCAGGGGGCAGGATTGCTGGAGGTAGTCGACCCCTTGGACGCGAATATCGGCCGATGTTGCCGCGCCGCAAAAGGAGGGCGACGGGGTTGTCTGGTTGACGGATTCGCCCATTGTTGTCTCGACCGTGTGATGTGCAGGGCGGGGCCAGTGATAGTCTCTGGGGGAGGCCTATAAATACGAAACTTGTGTCTCTGTAGAAAGAATATTTTCTCTGAAATTATTCTAGACTGATATATCATAGGTTTTTGTTGCAGAATCGGAAGCGAATACATTCGAAATCTCAAAACGGTTTCGTGCAGATTAGATGAAAGATGTATCTCAGATACCATCCAAACGGCAGACGGTATTCATGCTTATTACTCATTACTGCATCTTTGTTGACTGGTTGGAATTTAATTTATGCTGCAATAGTTTTGTATAACTCCATGTAATTTGTTTACCCTGGCATGAGGCTATATAGCTTTGTAAAATGCAAGACTACACAGTAAGTCAACTCATGGAGATCTCATCACCCTGAATATTCAAGAAAATACAAACATTGGAAAGCACCAATATACCACCGCCCCGTCATGTTTCTCGTCTTTTGGAAAGTGATTGAACATTTTTCTAGGCATTAATATTTATTTGATAATTAGTCACTGCACATTCCAAGTATTTCCCCTAGCCCCAGAAACTTAGGATTCTACGTACATTATCAAACGGATTTCAACAACAGGCCCCAATTTTGAAAAGCGCGATAGATCTTCTAAATGGATGATGAACAAAGATAAATTGAATGGAGATACATTGGCTACGCATGAAATGTGCAGATTTCGTTATCGGAACCACATCTCCTGAAACCAAATATCAGACAAAAAAAAAAAAACAAACGCATAATGAGCAAAATCATATCTTCACCTTACCTTCACAATCTATAGAATGCAATATTCCAATGCGGAGGCATGGACACTTGCAAGGGACAAAACGTTAATTGAAGCAACGGTACTCTTAGTCCTGGAGTAGTTCTTCCATTATGTCTTCTTCACTGTGTGCCTTTGGGCGAAGTTATTGCGACTTATTTCGCACGTTTGCGTTTCCGACCTGCATCTCTCACCAGATAGCCAACGATGTGGAACGTGTCAGATGGTTCCGCGCGTCACTTGTTCGCGCGCCTTTGTTTCACACCAACCAGCAACTTTTGCACGGATTTTAATGTGTGAATTCACCTTTCCCGATTTGTGGGCTGAATGTGAAAACATTACCGTGATAACTCTGTTGTGGCATTTATCGTGCGACATGCGCATTGTTTACGATCACTCACCCAGACGATCTACTAATGGAACCATATTTATCGAATGGGACCATATTTATAAAAAGGCAAGCAATAAATGTTCATGCATAAATTACTTAATAAAAAAGTAACTTGCCTCTTTCTGATTTCTTAACAGTGTATGAAGGTAACACTCACCCACTCGGGCAATATGCAACCCAGGTTTATAATACAGGTTATGAAATTAGAGAGCATTCTGAAACGCGTCACGAAGACCATCTCATGTGATTTGAATTATTTTGACTATGGACAAGTCCCCAGTGAAAGGTAATCTTGTCTTAATTCAAGATCGCAGAAGGGACCTCTCTTAATAGTGAAGAAGTGTACCGTGTTACGTGAGTGGATACCTTGGACTGGTCCCTGTCATTATTTAGAGACCGGTAGCTACAATCCTGGATAAAATTATTGGGACACTTGGCAATAGCCGTACGTTCTCCAGCCCCCTCATTCACTCAGGAGGTCAATGTTGTCCTGTCCCAACATTGTGTCTACCGTGCCGTTTTGCGTGTGTTTTCTGGCGTTGTTTGTGGAAAACTAAAATGACATATGACTGGTGAGTATAGACCAATGTACATTTTGGGCAAATTGTACAAGAAAAAGTAAAATAATTATCAATTTTGTATTATGCGTGTTGAAGTCGTACTGTTTTGCAGGAGTAAATCGTAGACGATGCATCGTGGCATTGCTGCCCATAACTGTGCAAAATGGATGTGTTTCGTTAATATTTTAATGTGAAGGGCTTATTTTGGTACAGAATAAACCTTACGGTGTCCATCATGCCGCTTTCATGCACAGCAACTAGAGAGATATGAAATGGAAGGCCTGACGTTCCGATCCTAGCAGAATCTTTCTCAAAGGCAAAATGAAAAGTAGACAGGACAAACAAGCAGAGAATCAACCAAGCATGGATGAATGAAAGAGGACAGAAGGAAAGGTCAAGAAAGCATCAGGCTTTGTAACTCGAATTCCGATATTATTAAACTGATGGCCGATGAGGAACGGATTAATGAAAATAACAACATTACGTTTCAGTCAGATCAAATTTAAATGTAACGTGGGTTACCGGGGGGGACTGAATAAGCTATGCACTGTAATATGTAGAGGTTGTATTGAGCCCTTGCTGCGAGAATTTGGTAAAAACCAAAAGCGTCACTGATTCTCGCTATCATTTTCTGTTGTTGAAATTCTAGCAGGAAATATTGTTCGTTTCTTTTGAGTTTATTTCATCATTTTCCTGCTTCTATTTTTCTGGCAGACCTGTCGGGCCAGTGCATCATGGATCAACCATTCACAAGAAAGAGCGGCGGTTGCAACGCATTTGTTGCAGCGTTGGGGTGACCCAAGAGGATGTGGGATGTATCTTTTGTGAGAATTTCTCTTTGAAAATATCAAATTATTCTAAGGTTGAAAGCAAACGAAATTTGTTGTTATAACAAATGAAAATGTATTTCTATCAATAAAAAAAGGGAGGTGAGTGCCGCCCGACTGTGCCACCCGTGGATCTGTCATTGTTGATACATCAATAATAAACATTCACTATAAACTTCACAACTTGTATACGTAGATCACTGAGAAGAAATGGACCCGGCCCGGTTGGGATCAGTTTCACTGTCGAAAATTTAGGAAATTAAAAGTATCGGTGAAAATAAATCAGCATTCTTTAACTAATTGCGTTCAAACCTAAAAAAATTGCCTTGTTTGTTCTGCGCCGAGGGAAATGAAAAAAAAAGTGGTGACTCAGAGGGAAAAAAAATC